TACAGTGATTTTACCCCATGGTGGTGGTCGTGGATAAGAGGAAAACTAGAGAAATAAATGAAGAGAAATATAGTGGAAGTAAGGCTGAAAGACAAAGGATAATTACCCAACCTTTGGAAAATGAGAATAAGACAGGAAAGAATGAAGGAGAAAGCAAAAGAATATTTAAGCCGGGGCTGGGGATTTAGCTCAGCGGCAAAGCGCCTGCCTAGCAAGCGCAAGGTCATGAGTTCGGTTCCCGGTACCGGAGAAAAACCAAAAAAAAAAAAAAAAAAAAAAAATATTTAAGCAAACCAGAAAAATTAGTCACACTGTTGCCTCACATCAAAAAAATCAAAAAAAGATAGCTGAGGAAAGAAAGAAAGAAAGAAAAAAAGATGAACAAAACAAGCAGCACACAACAAAACAAAAACCTAATCTCAAAAAAAAAGACAGAGGAAAAAAAAAAAAGAAAGAAAGAATTCCTCTGGTGTCCACAGTTCTGTGGTTGTGTGTAAATCAGAGCTCAGATCTGTGCTGGATAACCGCACCAGTATGCAGTAGGGTTAGTGCTGGGTGCAGAGCTAATCTTGGCCTCTGGATGTGGGAGGTGGGGCCGGAGTCTTCAGTCAGCAACTCTCTGGATGTCTTTCGGTGGCCCACCCATGTCTCCTTACCCTGTATGTCTCCTCATCGCTTTCTCAGCTGCTGTGGTTCCCTGAGACAAAGGCAGCCCAAGGCTCCTCAGAGTCCCATGTTCAGGCGGCCCTTCTCAGCCCTTGCACAGCGTCCTCTGTTCCACTCAGCTGGCATATCTCTCTTCTCTCTTACACCACTGGGAGTGGGTGGCGGGGTTGGGTGTTGTGGCCTGGCTGACTACCTTGGACACTGCCATGGCGGTAGCCCAAAGCTGCGCTGAGTCCCACATCTCTCTCCTCATCCTTCTGGGAGTGGGCAGGAGGAGTTTGTCCGTCCAACTCACTACCTCTGCCACTGCTGCGGTCTCTCACCTTGCTGTTTCTAGAGATCCCAGTTAGCTGCTGTGGTGCACATTTACTGCTCTGCTCCACTGGTGTGTTTCTCCCTGGGGGCCTCTAGGCTCTGTCACTCTCCAAGTGGCCCTGTAGGTTCCATGCCCCACTCTCACACATGAGCCAATGAGCTGGGCATGTGAGTCCAATACTGATGTTTCCCAACTCAATCAGTCAGAGGCTTTCTTGTTTTTCTTTTTTGTTATCCTTTCATAGTCTGAGAGAGAAAAAAAAAAACACTGGCAGACCTTCAGGGAGGGAGCAGCCTCCTGGTTGCCTGCCCCTGTGTGTGCCGGCAAAATTTACTACAAGGCTGCAACTCTAGAATAAAGTCAGGCTCATCTGAACTATCTGATACCCAAGAACAAGATACCCAAAAAGAGAAAGCTACTCCTGCAAGCTTCTGGAAGATTTGAGTTTTCTCTTCAAACAGCAAGACTACAGTGCTGCTATAGGAAGCACAGAAGTCTGACCTACTCCTCGTACTTGGGCTAACAGTGAAGCTCAATTGTCATTAACTCTTTTCTCCTTGTTTTCTAACAGGTTTTCCTTTCTTCAACCCAGTCAGTGCCACAGCACCCCAAAGTATTTGGGGAGTATGTGCTCCCCAGTAGATAGAGCCTATAGCCTCTTTCAGTTTGAAGAAGCTATAGAAGACAGAGACTTCTACTTCCTCAGCACCGCATAAAGAATTATAGGGATTTGTGTCTCTGTCAGGAGGAAATGACATAGGAGATTAGGGTGTGGCAAATCTGACTGTGGAAATTCATGTGACCTGTTAATTACAAGCTCCTGGAACACATGAGCAGAAGAGTTATTAAGGCCCTGGTTGTCCTAGTGTTATGGTTTGTGTCTAGGTGTCCCTCCAAAGCTTCATGCACTCATGGGTGGGGGCTTTTCAGAGGTGGTTGAATCTCGAGTTTATGATTGAGTGATGGTCCAATGCTGGGATTAAGGGTGTGAGTGCTACACCCGCCCTAGGATGAGTAGCCTGCATGCAATATAAGTGACAGAAAGAGGCTTGTTCTCCTTCTCCTTTCCTCTCTCCCTCCCTCTTTCTTACGGTTTTTGCTGTCTTTCACCACTATGAACTATTGCTCCTCTGCCATGTGCCACCCTGCCTTGGAGCCAGCTGATTATGGATCAAAACTGCTACAAACTATAAGCTAAATAAACCTTTCCCCCTTTAACTTTGGGTGTCCGGTATTTTGTCTCAGCAATAAGAAAAGTAACTAAGATGGCTATACAGTTGTACAATTATTCTGGAGAACTTCAAGGAAAGGAGAGAACTATATCAGCACTAGGCTGGTTTAGAACCATCCTGTACTTTGTTTGTACATTATAACATGTAGGGAGCAGCTGAAGCTGGAGATACTTTTTGGTCCTGAGAAAAACATCTTGCCTGAAGCAATTCCAGTCATTAGTCCCTAGGGACCCTCTGTCTCATGATACTACCTTGCAAAAGTATAAATAAAGGCCCCTACAGTGATTGTCCAGTCCTCTTTTCCTATCTGTTTTGTTTTGTTTTGTTTTGTTTTTTTCTGTACCGGGAAGCGAACTCACGACCTCGCGCTTGCCAGGAAGGCGCTGTGCCACTGAGCTAAATCCCCAGCACCCTCTTTTCCTATCTGGAAAGAGGCTACTCCACCTGACCTCAGCTTTCGTCCATCTATATTTTCTAAATCCCCTCATCATTTTTCCCTGGGACCACTGAGAGCTGGGCAGGTTTGCTGCAATAATACTTTCTGAAAAGCATTTGTGTGTGCATGTCTATGTGTAATACATCAGAAGTGAACACTCCAAAATCATGCTCACTTCAAATTGGAGAAGAGCCTGGCAAAAGATTGGGTCTCCTGAAAATCATAGGATAAAGACTTGAACCATTTCAGTTTGAGCACTACAATTTCATAACCACTCTATCTGATGTTGGCAATCTTAAACAAAAGAATGAGGTCTAAAATATTTTGTTAAGAGTGGAAAGTAAGGTTCAAAAATGTTTGTGTAGTAGGTTAAAAAAATGAGAGAATATCTCCAAAAGGATATGCATGAAAATGGTGACAATGACCGCCTTGTACGAGATCTAGGAAACTGGTGTGTGGGGGGGTGTTAGAGATTTACTTTTAAGCATCTGCTTTTATACTTTTTGATTTTTAAAAAGGATGTACATGTAGAACTCACACTTTAAAAAAACTAATGTGGCCATTTTGTAGTCTCAAGTTGGTGCAGCCTAGAATTACTTCCGAATATTGTTTTACAGCTGTACTTCCCCACCCAACTCCCCTGTGGGCAGTAACTCACCATTACTCCTTCGGCCCACATCACTGCCACACAGAAAATAAGTAAAGGCACATTCGTTTTGTGCTGAGACCAATCCCAGCTAATGCCTGAGCAGGGTATGGCTGTCAATGCAAGCTTTGCCTACAAGAACTGAAACTATTTAAAAGGAGACTTTGACCAGAGGACTCCCCCTGGCCTGTCCAGAATATTCTAGGTCAGTGGTAGTGAGCCTAGGATACATGCTGCAGGCCACACAGTGCCTTGTCTGTCCGCAAACCAGACAAGTCACCCCAGCAGTACCCCAGCAGCAGAGCATTGGATAACAGCACACATAGGGGCCATTCACATGCTTGGAAGGGAATAGCAGCATCAAGCAATGACGTCACAAGCAGCAAGTCATTAGCTGTAACTCCGCTGAGATTTCTCATGGCTGGTCTGTATTCAGGTTTAACTGCAGCGTCGGGGCGTTGTGATAAATAAGTGGGTTTTGGGTTGTAGTTTGAGCACTCAGTCTCTAAAAGGTTCACCATCACTGTGGTAGGCATTGTTCTGTGACTCTTCCTGTTGTCCTCTTTCCTTCACAGAGACCAGACTGCACCCAACATATAGACCACCCCTACCTTCTTCAGCACCCCGTATTCTTCACAGCCGTTGGCCCAATAAACCCCCTGAGTATCTAGTCCCACCCTGATGTATTCTTCCCCAAGGACCTGAACGAATAAACTGTACGGTGCACTGGTTCAGAGCACATGGTCTGCTTTGAGTCCCACTTCTGCATGATCTGCGAAGGTTACTAAACCTTTCTGGGCCCTGACTGCTGTGTAAAACACATAAGTAGACCATACTCATTGCACAGAAAGTTTCAGTTCTTGTAGCCAAAGCTTGCATGACAGCCATACTCTGCACAGAGAGGATCCTTTGTTATTCAGAAAGGATGATCCCGGGCCTCGCTGCTGGGATCTCTGCCCTGCAGCAATGTGCAATGATTTAGGAAGCGCTGGACACCCTCTACCTGCCCAAACCCATCCCCTCCACCTGCCAAGAAGTAGCCCCCCTGTGGTTTCTGCCGTTCCTTTGGGTGAAGAGGTACACTGGACCCACCCTGCTTCCAGGCCCAGATAAGCCACTCCATCCACAGAGTCTCCATAGGTAGTTTTTCTTTTCAACGATTTCCTTTATTTGTGAATTCAGTAAATAAATCTGTGAATTCACATCTCTTCTTGGAGGTTGGATTTTAGTTTTAGCCCCAAGATTTCATGAAACGTGGTACTCCCCAGAAGCAAACTCCGTCTGCTACTCTATCCAGTGTCATATCTCATTGGCACTGCTCTCGGCTGGGCCCTGGGGATTAAAAAGTTCCCCAGGCCAAAAGAGAAGGTCTCTACCCTCAAGCTGCTCAGTCTTCTCAGGAAGACAAACATGTCCACAGAAAATCCCAGTACAATGAAGGTTCTGTGACCACCTGGAGATGAAAGACTTCCGTCTTGGTCATTCCTGACATTTCATAATGGGAAATGGGAGAGGTGCAGGGAATAGTTTCCTGGTCATGTTTGGCTCAAAGAGGAAGAACAGCATGTTTCAATGTTCCCTGGCTGGGAAAAAAAATAAAATGAAAGTGTTTATTTTCATTGAGAAGAAGAAACTGAGAACTCTGGAGGTTAAGCAAATAGAAAGTTTATTTTTCTCTTATAGGCTATGAGGCCAGTTAATGATTAGTGAGTTGGCAGGGGGAGTTTGTTGAAAGGCCGGGGTGTGTGATCTCCCTGGTTTAGAGGTCTACTGCACACCAGCCCTGAGACCTCCAGCTCGGCGATGCCCCGGAGCCCCTGCAAGAGAAGCTTCTGGCTGTGGGGGGTCCTTCTGTGGCTCAGCATGCCAAGTGCAGGTAGGCAGAGAGCTCAGGCCTGGGTGGAACTTGTTTCAGCTAGTGACTCTATTTCTTCAACTGTCTGCTTATGCAATTCTAACTGTTGGAAGGTCCCCTAAAAGTCCTCTGCGTTTCCAAGGTGAATTTAAAAGAGGCGGGAGAAAAACCCCATTATCGTAATGGGAACCGTGGTAAACAGGACATTTACTTAGGTCACAGAAATTGAACTTTCCCCGGTTGTCTGACTCATTTTTCTAAAACCTGCATTTCAGTCCTTTTCATCTCGCACAAGCCAGGAAGACTAGAAGAAAATAGAATTTGATTAATTCTTTTTTCTGGATTAATTCTAAAATATTCTTTTTCGCCTTATAAATATCCACTGTTCCAAGACAGACTTAATTTTAACATTTAAAATTCCCAGACCAGTCGCTATTCTGTCCTAGAGATGGTTAGATGTTCCTTCTCATTTTACCAACCCAACGCAAGCTCAGATCCCCTAGGCTGGATTACGAAATGAGTCCCTGCTAGCCACAGATGCCCATTAGAGCAGCTTCTCTCTGATCGCATTTGCATTGTATTTTTCCCCTGGTAAAGAACCTGCCCATGGGAACTGCTTGCTTAATAGAGCAAATTAGCACACACACTTGGAGACACACATACACACACACACACACACACACACACGTACGCACCCTCCTCAGCCCACCAGGGGCAGCAGCAGCCCCAGAAAATCCGTCCCCCACCCCCTTCCAACAGCAGGCTGCTTCTCCGTCTTCTCTGTAGATGCTCCTCATCCCTCAGCTTTAGTATGTGCCAGTCCTTCTTCTTGGAGTTGGCTTATTTCTGTTCTTCGCATCTTCCAAGAGAGCGTCCTGTCTCCCTTTCTTTCGTCATTCCTCTGTCCAGCACTCCTTCCCTGCTCTAAAGTGCAGCTCCCTGGGTGAGTTCTCTCCCTGCAGCCTGGGTAGCTTTTCAAGGTGCTGCTTGCCTTCCTGCAGGCTTTCTCTACCTATCATTCGTAGTCACAAGGTGAGGATTCGGGGCTCTTGCCTCTTTTAACGCAAGTGGTTGGTTAATGAATGCTGCTGCCTTGCTGCTTGGAGGAGGCAAGGTACTGAACAGAGAGGGCATGGGTTGCGGCTCAGGATACCCTGACCTGCACTCTGGCTCTTTCTTAGTAGCTGTAGGACTCTTCTACTGTGTGAGATGGAGCTCCCGGGGGAAGTGATTTTACTTTATCTGCAGTGGGAGACTATCCTTAGGAGACAGGGACACTGTAAGGACTAAACAAGGGTACACGGGGTCTAACTTTCTGCAGTTGTTTATTCTCTGGTGATTTTATTAGTGAATGGGGCCACTGGGCGTGTGGAAGAAGAGGGAACACAGCTGTCATGAGCCACTTAGGAGAGCAGATGAGAGGAGTCCCTGAAGGTGCCTAAGAGAGCTGTGGGTGCCATTCAGAGCGGTGGGCTTGGCAGGCCACTTTGTCCTTGCTCAGCAACTCTGCGCCCGCAAAGGGGCTAGGAAGCGTTTGCTAGGCGTCCTGATTTGACATTTGAGGGTGGAGCCTGGTGAGGTGGCACAGGCCTGTAATCCCAGACCTCTGGGAGGCTGAGGCAGAAGGATCACAAGTTCAAGCCCAAGCTGGGCAATTCAATTTAATAACTTAGCCAAGGGCCTGTGTCCAAACAAAAAAAGGCTGTGGATGTAGCTCAGTGCAAAGGCTCTGGAGTCCATCTCCAGTACTGAAAAGAGGGTGGTGGGGGTGGGGAGGACTGGTGGCAAATAGCTTCCGAACTCTTCTTGGAACCTCACCTTTCAGCAAGCCTGGGCTTCCAGCACAGACAGAAAGAGCTCAGAAATCCTGAGTCAGCAGCGCTGGGGTCAGGGCAAAAATGGATACAGTTCCAACGTCCCATGTGAGAGCATGGTCGAGCCCCCGGACAGGGAGTGAGTGCATAATAGCTTATTTGCTGGTCCAGGATTGGGTCCTTGCTCTGTTCCCTTACATTTGTCTGCTTCAGTCTTTCTCTTCACACCCGCCTTGTGGACTGTTCTCAATTTCCCATCCCCATCTCCTCCTTCTTACTGGAGCCGAGTGTATGGTCAGCGGAGCCAGTGTTTATCAAGTTAATGTTTTCTGTTCTTCTGAAAGTGTTACCTTAGCATTAAATGAGTTGGTGAAGAGGCGGAGATGGGGGGTTGGTGAAAAGCATTGTGGGGGGCATTGGAGTCAAGATGTAACTGCACTGGGGAGCCCACGGGAAGCTGGCGAGAAGACAGACATTGAGGTGAAGGAAAGGAAGGGACGGCATGGAGGTGGAGGAGGCGCTGGGTGTCTGTCGGTCAGGAGGATCCCTCATTACATCGGGCAGCAGCTGGCCCACCGGGCTATTGGGAGGGTGACCCCTGCTCACTTTTCTGGTTCACCCAGGACACAAACAGTGTTTTGCTTGAATGGTGGAGGTCAAGACAGTTGAGCCTGCTCCTTCATCAAATTGACATAGCCAAGAGACCACTACTGGCACAGAAGACAAACTCCCGGACCCTTAAACTGTTGTTCATTAAAAGCGTGATTTGTATTTTCTTCTGAGGCAGTCAGGGGCTTAAAAGCAGTTTTTGATAAAACCCATGCATCTTCCCTTGGGCCTATAAATGCCCCATAGGCAGCTTGAAACCTTGGCCATAGGTACCTTACTCATTTAGGAAACATCAGTACAAAAAAGTCAGTTAGCGTGAGATTTACCAGAGCTGTCTCATCCCCCCTTCAAGACAGAGAACACCCAGATAAGTGTAATTAAAGTGATTTTCAAGATTCACAGGGACATCTGATTACCAGCTTTATCACATCCAGTTTCAGAGGCCCCCCCTCCGCCCCCACCCCTCTTTAATGATACCTAAAATTCTCCACCCGTTGTCCTAAACCAGCAGTTTCCTAAAATCAGGGATTTTATGAAAAACACAGGCTCACATGGCTGAAACCACCACAAAGAAAGACAGCAGTTCCATGAGGACAGAATTGCCCCAAGCCATGAAGATTCCACCGGAGCTACAACACCGGACTGAGACAACGGCTGGCCAGACCCCAGCCCTCAGCAGTACCCCATGAGACCCCTTCCTTGTTTAGGGGCCAGTCTGATCCTCTTCTTTGCAGTGCGCCTGCTTCAGCTACTCAAGCCGAAGAACTTTCCCTATCTTCTCTCTACTTTCCAATTAAGGAATTTTCCCCAAAGATTCCTGCTTTGGTTTAAATTTCCATTTCTACTAAAGCAAGGTGGGGACAACACTGGCCCTTGTGTCTCTGGGTCTAGTTCCTCTCCTGAAGGTGGTTCTGAAGTCTCCTGCTCCCTGGGTAAGGGGCCTTTCTAGGTATTCTCTCAGCACCTGGGCTTCCTGGCCACGGGTCTCCTGTCCCCTCTTCCTGCAGGTTTTCCTGTGTATTTATACTTCTCCCTATAGATTATGAGCTCCTGCGGGCAGCTATGGCTTGCATCTTACTTATCCTGTATTTACCAGAGCTTCACCTGGGACATGGGATAGAGAAGCCATTCTATAAACCAAAGGCCCCAGCTGCTTAAGAGGAAGAAACCGAGTGGGTTGCAGGCCTTGTTTCCATTTCCTGACATTTGTGGTACAGTAGTTAATTGACCCTCACTCTGACACAACATGTCCACCCAAGAAGGAGTGGGCTGGCCCATTTTTGTTACGCTGCTGACAAAGCCACCCACAGGCCTGGAACGATATGGCTGAGTGTGCTGAGGAGCCGGGGCCTCAGAGGGATGGCAGGAAGTCTGGGGGCCATGGCACTGGGCTGGAGACAGCAGAACCTGAGTAGAAGCAGCCCGGACTGGGTCTGTGATGCTGGCCTCTCAGAAGCCAGCCTGGGCCAGGTTTGTTGCAGGTGATGCTGCCCCCAGCATGTCTGAAAACAGCCAGGCCCAAGTTAGCTGTAGCAGGACCTCTGCCTCCCTCCCACCCTGCAGTGCCCACTGAGCAGCCTGGCAGTGGGAGAGCGGGCCCTACAGCCAGGACACTCTTCTGTGGATCCTCCAATTTCTCCGTGTTTGACAACAAAGTTATGGTTTTGAGCCCACTCTGCATTCCATTCCTTTCTGGGCCTAGGCCACAGAATCAGAATGTCTTAGACAAGCAAAACTTCTAGGAAACAAAGTCATGTGTGAGATACTGGTCTGCAGAACTCACCTAACGTAGGTAAATGTAGGAACTGAGAGATGCTGTTTCTGACATCTATAGATCATAGAGTCAACCTGTGTCCCAGGGACTGAAAGGGAGCGCCGTGTGTCTGTGTCCTAAGGGTGGGCACTGCCTGGCTGTTAATAACCTTTCCTTAACATTTATTCAGCACTCAGAACCAAGAATTGAAAATGATGGGCTCTTTACAGATTTGGACAAGCCAGTGTTTAATTCTGTACTCCTCCTTTCTATTGCTTATAAGTCCCTTTCTTCTGCTTATGGCCTGCTGGGTATGTCTCAGAAATAAAATGAACCCAAGTGAAAACTGCAATTTTTGAGAGTCAAACTTTTTTTCAGAAAGGTACGGGTAATATATGGGAATATATGCCCATGGCAAAACTCACATAGCTGTAAAGGTATAACATGAGAAATTGAAGAGGATATCAGAAAATGGAAAGATATCCTCTGTTCCTGGATAAGCGGAACCAATACTGTCCAAGTGGTTACATTACCAAAACTAAGATATAGATTTAATGCAATTCCAATCAAAATACCAACAGCATTCCTCACAGAACTAGAGAAAACAATCCCAAAATTTATATGGAACCAGAAGAGACCCAGAATAGCAAAAGCAATCCTGGGCAACAAGAGCAAAGCAGGAGGTATCACTATCCTGGATTTTAAGTTATACTACAAAGCTGAGGTGATAAAAACAGCATGGTACTGAAAGACCTGTGGATGAGTGGAGCAGAGGAGAAGATGCAGAAACAACACCAGGCACATCCGGCTATTTGGCCCATTTGACAAAGGGGCCAAAAACATAC